ATCAAGCAATATATGATGAAAGAATACAACATTATTAGGAAAGAATACAACATTATTAGGAAAAATCACTAACCAGTGATAAGTCTCTGGCATGTGAATTTTAGCTGCTCTTCTTCTTCAGATCAGATAATAGGAAGACGGCGGTCAAAGTCAAAGCATCATTTCATTCTGGATGATTCTATTAATATTTCTTTTTAATGTACTCTTTTTAAATGCAGTTATAAATTAATAATTCAAGGCCTGTCCTCAAGCTTTCAGAGGACAAGGAAAAATTCCCAAAACCTGTTCTGTAGACACGAACATCTCATATCTAGGGCAAAACTGAGTTTACACATATCTTTTTCAGAATATGCAATTGTGAGCAATAGGTTTCACCCTAATTTTCCAGTTAGATGTGACAAGTGACACTATCAAAATACCCACACAGTTATTTATTCTGCTATTACCACGGTTTACTCAGTTGAATTTTCATGGTTGCTCAAAGATCATTATTGCCATCTAGTTAGCAGCCTTCAATTTTTATTAGAAGTCTATGCTCTGTCCCTTAACAGGAAAAATATTGTTATGTGAGAAAAGTATGTGGAGGGTCATACAAACCATAAGAGTGTGGATGCCTTGTTAAACAATATTGTGTTGTGTTGGGGGTCAGCCAGTGATGTTGACAAAGGAATAATTAGATATTATGCATCCCAATTTCCACCTGATCTTTCCCTTGGAACACTTTCATCATCTTATAGCTGTGTACTGAACATGCTACTCCTGCCCATTTTGCTTCTACATTTTCAGTCATTAAAAAAAAGAGGAAGGGGCAGGGGCAGTGAGGGTCCATAATGTAAGAAGAAGCAATATGAAACTAAGGACCTCCTGGAAATTTAGGGGAAACTAAAGTTACAGCCAGCTGGCTGGATAGCTCAGTAGTTTAGGTATCTGGCTGTGAAGCCAGAGGCTGGGAAGTCGACTCCCCATTGTACCTCCTGCAAGTAGAGCCAGCCTATGTAGCCATGGCTGAGCTGCACAGTCCCAGGGCATGCTCTCAAGAAGGGAGAAGTAAACAACTTTTGTGTGTTCTTTACCAGAAAACCCTTGAAAGGGTTGCCACAAGTTGGCATTGACTTGACGGCACGCAATTATTATTATTATTAAAGTTACAGGTTGGATTCCATAGCAGCTCCTCAAACAGCAATACATTCAAAAAGACAGTTCACCACATGGACCTTATAGCACAACGGAAAGGATGGATAGGACTGTGTACTGACCACTGCATTCAGTCAACCTCTTATTCAGCAATTCACAAAACAGCATAGACTGAGGTTCCCTGACTTTATTCCGATGTAGATCCAGATCTCTGTTCAAAAATGTAACTCAGTGTGCTCCCCTTGATAAAAGGTAAAAGTAAAAGTAAACGTTCTCCTTGACAATTTGTCCAGTCGTGTCCGACTCTAGGGGGAGTTGCTCATCCCCATTTCTGGCCCATAGAGCTAGCGTTCGTCTGAAGACAATCTTCCATGGTCACGTGGCCAGTGCGACTAGACACGGAACGCTGTTACCTTCGCACTGTGACAACTATCCCATTATTTTTCTTTCTATTCAGGGTATACACTCCCTGCCTTTCCCAAAACTACATTCCACATAAAGCCTCGGCTAGCCCTCAGGAATCAGTTCTAGTCACTTCACAGGGAAGCCTACTTCATTCCTACTCATCTATTCCTACTTAACCATCCAGATCATGTTTATTTAAAGGCAAATCCCATTAACATCAATGGGATCTATTCCCTAATAATGTATTTCTATTATTACACTACAGCCCTGTTTATTTTTTTAAAAAAATACAATTATTTTTAGAAATTTAGGGGGGAAAATAAGATACATTTTTATCCCTAATTTTTAGCCTGTGATTGGAGGAAACTATTGTATCAGATTTACGGTATCTCTCTCTGTGTGTGTTGCAACAAAGCATTAGGAAGAAACATTTCTGAAACTGGTTCATTGCAATTAATTTTTTGCAAACTGCATGCCTGAGCTGAAATGCTGCTGGGTGGATTCTTACTATTTATTAGTATTCTACATGATCTAGATAGGCCAGTTAAACTCAGAAGGCACTATGGGAGCATGCAGTAACCGTAGCAACCAGACTTCAGCTTCCAGAGATTGCATAATGTAGGAACACTATACATTCTGAAGAATAAGGTGTTCACTGAAGGTTTGTTTCACTAATTAAATACGAAAAGGATTCAGTCTCTTTGTAATTAAAACTGTCAGAAATGTATGCTAAAAAATTCACTGGCTGCTACTTATTTTTCATTAACATTCAGTAACATCATTTGGCTGTACATTGAGGCATATTTCAGAGACTAGACTAAAAATTGAAGAGTACATGCAATATAAAGAGACCTGGACAACTTGCCTTCTACCAAACATGTTCAACTTACTCCAATGCTACTTTTTATTAAAGTTCTGTTGCTTCTTTGGATATGAGTACCTTATTCTACCCAGTTCAGAGATTTAATTTGAATAAATAGGAAACATGGGCTGTTGCACTGGATGTGATGAGGTTTTTTACAAACAGAAGTTTGTTAATCTCAATTAAAATTCTTCCATAACAGGCTGCATGTCTCCTGTTTCTTTCAACAGTTTAGGCTTCATAGTCACAATAGCAAAAGGAATGGATAAGATCAGGGTCATCTAACATCAACAAAACCTGCCATTATGAAATTTTACTCAGCCTTTTATTTCATCACTTTTTTTGATGCCTTGAAATAGCTAGAGATGATTTGCACACATTAACGGGTTACCAAAAGTAAAATACCATAAATACCAAAGTTTAAAATACAGCTGAGACAGTTTCCACACTAAACCTTCCTGCAGTTGTGATAGAAAATTATGGTTAGTGTTTGCTGGTTTTATTTGCAGCATCACATGCTGCCTGTAGTTTGTTTGTTTGTTTATTTGGGAGGGAATTTTCAGGGTAAGTGTGACTGTCTATCTATCCCGAACTAATCTATCCAGAATTAATCGAATTCCAGAGAAGCCCACCTGCACGCACGGCCTGCCACCCACACGCACGGGTGCCCCTCCCCTCTGCCAGTGCACCCTGCCCCTCTGTGAGCACACACACACCTCAGCACATGCGCATGAGCACACCCCTCCCCTCTGCAAGTGTGCCCTGCCCCTCAGTGCATGTTTGTGTGCACACCCACTCCTCCACGAGCATGTCCTGCCCCTCCGTGCATGCACATGAGCATGCCCTTCCCCTCTATGAGCAAGTCACGCCCTTCCATGCTTGGACACAAATGCACCCCACCCATCTGTGAGTGCACCCTGCCCACCCGTGAGCATGGGTATGGCCCCCAGGCACGGACCCTGCCCTCCCAACCAGTTAATGGTTCAGAAAAGTTTGGGGATCACTGCCTTAAATCATACATGTCACATGGATACTGATCTGCTATTTCGACTATGGGAGCTCCTGCCAGCTCCTGTACTACTGTGACCAAGCCTTAGGCAATAAAAGCTCACAAGCTGCAACACTGACACACCAGTCTCTGTCTGGCTTTAAATAGCAAAATGAACCCATGTCTATGCATAAACCTGTTTTCTTCCCCCAATCTCTCACTCAGGGCTTTTTGGTGCATCCATTGTGCTTGCACACAACACAAATTAAAATGCCCTCACAGTGGAGCCTGTGGGGAGGTGGGAATGGATAGAGACAGGTGCCAGGACTTCAAGGCCCTCTTACAGACAAGAATCCAGCTTTCTCCTCCTTCAGCATAAATAGCTCTGAGGTTTGATTTGCCACTTGGAGACCAAAGGAGACAGAGTCATTCCATGAGACTTTCAGCATCACCCTGAGACATTGTAACTCTAAATGGAATGGAACCCATATAGGAAAATGGAGGGGAGAGGAAAGAAAATAAGTAGGTAGATTAACAGATGTGTTCAAGTATGTTTTCCTCCTTTATTCTGTTCTCTGTCCATATACAGATTGTTCAGTTACTTCCTCCTTCTTGTTCATAGGCTATTTCCCATTTCTTTCTGTTCCCTGTTTTATTTTATTTCTACCACCATGTTAGGGATTCTGAAGCATAAACCTTTCCCTAAGAGCCTTACAGAACTTTATAGACCCCCCCAGGGAAAAATCAGAAGCCTGTGTTCATCACAGCTGACATTTATTCCGTAAGGACTGAGTCCACTATGACTCAGAGTACAGTGGTGCCTCACAAGACGATTGCCTCGCGGGTGAAAAACCCACAAGACGATTGGTTTTTGTGATCCCTATGGTGCTTCACAAGACAGGTTTTTTCTATGACCATGCTTCACCAGACTTTTCCCCCCCGAGACTGATGCTTCGCAAGACGAATAAATTTCATTTGTCTTGCGAGGATTCCATAGGGAACCTCGCAAGATGATTTTTTCACAAGATGACGATTTTTGTGGAACGAATTAAAATCATCTTGTGAGGCACCACTGCACCTTGTACAATTTACTCCTTCCTTCAGAATATCCTTCAACTTATTTGCCCTTATTTATTGAACAGACATATGCAAGCAGATATAAATATGTCGCATTGGTCTTATCTGTTGAATTATCTATTGAATATCCAAAACAACAACACCAAAACTTAACCATAAAAACGTAATTAAATGCTTTAGGAATATAATTATTTATTTATTTACAATATTTTTTAGCCGCACCATTGCCAGTGGCTTCATAAAGTTATGAAAACTTTATGAATTAAATGATAAATATAAGTAATTATTCTAACAAAACTTTAAAATGCTCTAATAAAAATTAATATGGCGGTTAAGAGTGGAATAATAAGATTGTAACTAAAGTGTTACAAATACTTAATAATAAAAAGTATTACAAAGACATACTCTCTTGAGTTATAAAAAATTAACTCCCAATTAAGTCACATCTATGTAAGTACCTTAGACTACGTAATTAAAAGGCCAGAGCATAAGCAATTGTAAAATTACATCAGCATATAGTTAACAAAATCTTACCCCCCCCCAGCAGAGTTTTCTCCCCTCTAATAGTGCTCTGCTGGTGTTCTTTGCTCCTTGCCTTGGCTATCTTTTCTAGCTGTTATTTATACCCTTATCTCTCCCTCAGCTATCAACAAACCTTTCTACAGGGCTGAATGTACAGAATGCCCTGTGATATAAAGAATCTGGTACACTGAGGTGCTATAAAACCAGAATACTGTAGTTATTATAGTTGCAGATTATGGGATTTGCAAAAGCCATCTCTGGTATTAGCATATTGGAACATAAATACCTTCCACCGTCAGCCGTAAAGGGAATTCTTTGAAATGTTATTGTACTGGCCAATTGTTCTTGCAGCTCCTCTTTAATGTACTGCTGTTCAGACCTCATTTTTAAAGGACTGCTTTTTCAACACACACACCTTAATTGTTTTAGCATTCTATAGATACAAAATTTCACATATTGACAACTGAAAACCTGCTCTAAGCAAAGAACATGAATGACGCAAAGCTTCAGTAGCAGTATTGAAAACTGCTGCAGGGCAGAAGTTCTATCCACAAAGTACTTCCACATGTGTGTTATGCAACAGTTCTGAAGGGAAAAATGCATTCACTCGTGCAATCAATTCACACAATACTGGTTGCCCCCAGCAGGTTTCCAACAATACGAGCAAGATTTCAGCCAGTAAATAATATTTTCCCTCCCTTTTTGCATAATGCCAATGTCAATAATGATTTGCCCTCCTAGCCCGAAAATAAAGAGGCAAGACAGGTTGTTGGGTTAAAACTTTATTAACTATTTAAACTATTTTAAACTAAATCCCCCAACTACAAGGGGGCCTAACATAGTGCGATCTTCTTCCAAATCTGGAGCAGCCATGACCTCCAGACTATTATAGAGCAGGGCAAGCTCCTATTTCTGACGTGTACAGCACATTTTCAGGTGCTCAGTGTGATGTGCCCCTTGTGTGTCCCTGGATTATTTCACTAATCTAAGGTCCACACCACATTTCTGTTTACTCTGCCACCAGTTGATCTCTGTCATTATTTACTTGGAAAGATTGAGGTCCAAACAGCATGTAACTTTTAACGAAAACAGGTTTATTGGATACAGTTCAAATCTTGAGTTTCACCTAAGTAGATTCCTAAAAGATGTTAAAGCTTTCAGCAGTTTTGTAATAACTTATTCCACACTTAACTCTCTCTAAGTTCCACACTCTTAACAGCTTTTCAAACACTGACTATCTGCCCTCTATCTGCTTCACCCCTCCCTTTTTGTTCCACTGGCTCCGCCTCGCAACAACTCTTATTGGTGCATGCTGCAATACTCATACACATGCATAAGCAGGGTAATTGCTACACTTAGTGATGATGTGACAACTGAAAACCTGTTCTGAGCTGCCCATGTATGATGCAAAGCTTCAGTAGCAGTATTGAAAACTGCCCCGCTGTCTCAGCCCACTGAGCCTTGTGCCCCTAACTGAACTGTTGGCTGGGGGGGGTCACCCTATGAATAAACCCACCTCCCCTCAGATGCCCTCTTGGGTCCACCTGACCGAGAGATGAAATAATTTTTTGCATCCTCCATGAGCTAACCCCGACTCTTCTCTTTGGACTACCCACCATGGCCTGGGGCTATTTATATGCCCCAAGCCCGCCACCGAAGCCAAAAATTTCAGCTCAAAGGCCCCTTTTAGTTCCCACAAAAAAAGGCCCCTACCCAAATCCAACAAGTGAACACCGTCACTTCCGTACAGTTCTGGCTGGTGACCTCTTATGTCAAGATGCCTTATCACTGACCCAAGTCCAGCCCTCATAGCTTGGCTCACTTCATGATTCACACCACACCGTGCGCGGTCAATGCACCTGGGATCACAGATAGCTTTCCACACCAACCTTGGTTTAATGTTCGACCATATCAGTTTTATCCCGGAAAACGTAACCTTCACGGTCTGCAAATCCTGAATCACTTGCAATATCAATGACTTGCCTGTACACCTGGTCAAGTCATTGCCTCCCAAGTAAACAACAAATACATCCGGGGGTGCATTCTTAATTTTCAGGAAGTCTCGCTCTAAGAGCTCAACCCAAAGCATACCCCTCTTTCCTTTCCATTCCAGTGTAGCCAGAGCTCCCAGGCCTAAATTACAGCCCCAACTGGTCCACAAAGTGTGGTTCGCCGCCCAATGAACATATCATTGGCCATACACCACAACCTCTCCTTTTCCCTATCCTCCTCCTTAATGGCTTTCTCTTCATCCATTTGTCTATTCAGAAGTTCGAATATGACAACGTATTTACATTGTCAAATCTTCTCTATTGTGGCTGGGAGAAAGTGATCACCTAGAGATAAAGATTGATCCCCATATGGAAGAGCACTCTGGGGAACAGAATTATACTCCATGTTTGAAATTGCAGGGTAGTTAAGCTGTTGTAAACCCTCAATAAAACCTGGTGTGTGACTGGGAGAAGACCATTGTGGGTACGGCACTGTCCAAAGCTTCAAAGCCAGTATGGCCCCCACAGGAGTGGGCAAGCCGATGCCATTGTTGCATGGCAGTAAACTGATGTTTGGTTGCGAAAAAACTGGTGGATTGACTTCTCCCCAAGGCCAGATCCCTTCCATGTGATGTGTAGATGGTGTGGGTGCAGACTCACCTGAAACCGGCACAGCCAAGATCACCACATTTGCTGGAGGCAATTCAGCCACCTGTTGGCTGGTACTAGAAATGGACCTGTCGATCCCAGCCTGCTGATACACTCAATCCTGGACATGTCGGTTTGCCTTCAATGCATTTTCCCGTCTGTTCCTTCAGCTCTGTCAGAAGGTCAGGCATGATGACCCATTCATCTTCCATAGGCATGTTCAAGGAGCCTCCACCTGCTGGTTCCACTGAAACTGCCCCTGGAGCTGTAGCACATTCTTTTTCCAAGAGAGCAATTCAGGACAACATTACATCACCCAATTGCCTGTGTTCCACCATCGTATGTGCCTTAGACTCCCTATGAGAATTCCTTGGAGTAGCAACGCTAGCAGCTTCCCTAGCCACGGATCTCTTCCTTTCAAGTTCACGTAATTTTGCCAAAATGGCACTGTAATCAGGCCCCTCCTCATCCTCAGATGAAAAAAGAGCAGGCAGAACTTTAGCTGAGGCCTTGTGTTTTGCTTGCCCTTTTTAAAACCTTGTATCTTTTTTGGCCCCGTGCTGACAGAACAATTTTTAAAAATATATATTTATTTTTAAATGTATTTATGTATGTATGTATGTATGTATGTATGTATGTATGTATGTATGTATGTATGTATGTATGTATGTATGTATGTATGTATGTATTTATTTATTTATTTATTTATTTATGTATTTAGGTATTTAGGTATTTAGGTATTTAGGTATTTAATTAGGTATTTTGGTATTTTTATTTATTTATTTATTTGAATGTGTTATATATTAGCTTTTTTAAAATGAAAACCCCAGCAGGGGGTGTAGTAACCACCCACAGCTTCCTACAGCTATTCCTCTTTTTTTTTAAATTAACAGCTGACAGATGGCCTAGCAGGGGGTGCACCCTGATCAAACTGTGCACTTATTTCTCTTTTTTTATATATTCCAGTAATCCCAACAAAACGAAAGGGGGGGTAGCATAGCCCAGTAATTAAAGCTAACCCCGTATTAAGTTTTTTTTTAAAAAATCACATTAATTAAATTTCCCCTTTTGTCCTCCTTTCTTCTTTTTTTTTGAAAAAAATGCTATTAATTGGCAATCTAATAAACACAGTCACAACAAAATCTTATAAAACACAGTGTTCACAAGAAACTCAAACCCCCCCACTCTTCCCTCCCCTCCCCTCCCGAAAGCTTAACAAATAAGGGGGAGCTTCGATCTATTCCCCCTTATCCCTCAATGATCAAACCAAATTAATTAATTCAACTGAAAAGGGATAACACAGAGAAGGGAGGGTAAAGAAAAAACAGCGAAACAAACAGAAAACCAGGGGTCACAGCGATGCACGACCTGAAATCCAAGGCTCAGCCAAAAGCCCCATGTGATGAAACCGAAACTGCTTCTTGCCTGGTTGTTAAGACAACAACCATTAAGCATGGCTGAGGTGAAGCCATGTAAAGAAGAATACTCTGGCAAAGGGGGACAGATGCCAGATTTTAAAAAGGAAAGCCCTTCATCAAACAACATAGGCTAAAATAGATTATACAATCAACTGGAACCTGAAACCTCTGGTCTTCTATGCCATAAAAGCCTTTATTGAGGCATAGAATTAACTGCACAGAACCAGCCCTCCAGAATATAAATTCACTCAATTTCTGTACAAAGAGGAGATTTAATGTGTTGTTTATTATTCCTTACCCCCACTCATTACTATCATTACCCATTATTGCTGTTTATAAACTGAGCAGACAATTAGGCAAAACCAAGAGTAACAAGAGGGGCAAATTACATAATTAATTGTTAATTGGTGGTGGCAATCTGACCTTATTTAGAGTCAAAGAAAAATATATAAATACAATATGTGTTCTTCTACAATGGGCCTTTGCTGCTGACAGGAATTTCTTTTACTTATCGAGAAGGCCGATATTTTTTTTTAAATCCCCTTACCAGAGGTTTAGCCCTTTGTAAATATGAAAGCAAGACACAATAGATTCCAAATGCCCATTGTTAATGAACTATAACTTCTAGGTGCCATTATGAATTAAATAATATATTTTTGCAAGAATGGAAAAAAAATGTCTGAGTCAAAGAACAGAAAAAAACAAAGCAAGTATGAGATAGACTTCTATTTCAAAAATGTACCAAAAAGCTAAACCATATAATGGATTGGAAAGTCCTACAACATTATGGAGCAGAAAATTACATTGCATCAATAACCTTTGTTATTCATGATCCCAACTGCCTTCTGCTTGGGCATCATAGTTTCTCCCTCAGTCAGTCTTCTGTTCTTGCAAGCTAGACAGAGAGCCACTGAAAGCTAGCTATGTGATGAAGTCACTCATAGTAAATGAAGCTAACATAATGTTGGGGAATAGCTTTAACTCTGCATGTTTGTTTAGCCTGAG